ATCGTCGTTGCAAATATCGTGGTAAAAAATAAAGTATCTACAAATCATCGCATGACGATAACATCGCAGATATGCTTTTTTCAGGCATGCTTTAATAAGTGTAAATGGATATTCCCATAATGATTTGTGAGCACAAGATGGAAAGAAGGATAATTTTTACTTTCATATTTTTTATTAATTAATACATTTTTGCTGAGAAAATAAAAAGGAAACTTAAGCATAAAAAATTAATGCAACTTAATAGAATTTTAAACCGACATAGTTAACTAACAAAGGCCATTAATAAATCATTTTTATAAAGTTTTTACTGGTAATATTTCATGAAAAGTATAATCTATAAGTTACATTTAATTTTCTATGCTTAAGTTTCCTTCTTACGTTTTCAGCAAAAATTTATTAGTTAATAAAATATGTGAAAGTAAAATTTATCCTTCTTTACACCTTGCGCTCACAAATCATTATGGGAATATCCATTTACAATTATTAAAACCTGAAAAAAAGCATGTCTGCGATGTTATCGTCATGCGATGATTTGTAGATACTTTATTTTTTTTTTACCACGATATTTTCGACGACGATGTTTTTAAACTGCGATGTTTTTGAACCGCTTTATTTTCTACGACGATGTTTTGTACCACGATGTTTTAGAACTGCGATGTTTTCTCTTTGCGATGTTTTCTCCCACGATGTTTTGTAGCACGACGTTTTCACCTTGCGTTGTTTTCTCCGCGACGTTTTCGTCCACGATGTTTTTGCCGCGATGTTATCGGCGGACACCCTTAGCGAGAGCATAAAAAACTTTAACAAATTCTCTGGTGGGACGTTAAATCTGAATTCGTTCATATTTTCTTCATTTTTTCCATTAATTAATTAATTTTTTTATAAAACAAACAGCGGAAGCACATGCGGTCACTATTTAAACCAAACGTTAGTATGTGAAGGAAAAAAAAAAAAAATCTGACATTCATAAAAACGCTTTCAAACATTTCACAACTTCATTCATTTTTCTCACGTTACTCTTGTAAGTTTATTTTACTAGGAAATAAATATTTCATATAACGTTCTTGCATCCAGTCGCTTTATCTTCGCGTTGATCTGATACCGTACACCCCTTTCAATTTCCTTCCACCATTTTGGATCGTCCGTTGTTGTTAAAAAAGCGTTGAAAGCGAAGAGCAATTTACGGCGTGAAAACGCAGATCAAAAAAGAAAACTTAAAAATTGTTGTATAAAAATGCGCGTGGGTTGTATGGCCTTCCTATGGTGTAGGATGGGGCACCTGTGGAAGAGAATCGTGTTTCTAGGCCACGAATGCCGATTTGAGAAATCAACAAAAAAGAATACATGGTTATGACGTCACAGACACGTGTTCACTTTAAACCATTTTGCCTGAGAGTTTAAAAATATTGACGTAATAGTTGTGTTTCGCGCTCTGGAAATTACATCAATTGTGCATCATTTTTAGAGAAACTAGCTGCCTGTTTGAATTAGAGAACTGTTTTGTGTCTTTTTGCGCTTGCTTAAAAGTTTCTGAATTATAAATCAGGGGTAGAAAATGGATTATCAATCACTGTTATTGTAGAAATGAGGTTAGAAATTTCAGCTGATCGTATGAACTTTCTTAGTTTGCTTCTTTACTTTTCAGTATGTTATTACCTTGGATAACTATTTAAGTCTAATTTATAACCCTAAACGAAAGCTTTTAAATATGCTTGCGGTTTTAAAAGGTAAAATGCTTACCAACTAAGCGGTTTCAGCAACTAAAGTACTCGTAAAAAAAAAGAATTGCATGTAGTGGTTTTACGTGTGACGAATGCTGTTTGTTCTAAGATGGCGTTTATTATGTGAATCTTTCTTTATGTGGGATGCGGTTTTGCATAGATTAATATGGGATTAATTTTAATCCACTTCTGAAATCGGTCCGTAATTATGAAATGTCATAATTATGGACCAGAGAATTCTATTAAAGCTGTAAATGCTAAGAAACCATTCATTTTGTATTAAAAAAGGTGAAGATAAAAAATGTGTATATCGTAGATGCAGTCAGCTGATCAATGTTCATGTCTGTAGTGTGTTAAGTGTTGACATACTTTTTTAATGTTTGCAATACTATTTATATTTAAAAGTATAAATTGATAAAAATATCCGGATTTCTTACAGATATATTCACCTGTGAAAACTATGACTGTTTAGAATTGTAAAAAAGGCTCCAAATATTTGATTAATTGTTTTGCTGTTCTGTCTTGTTTATTCGCAAACCGTTAACACGCAAAAATACTAATTTAGCATTTAAAAACACTGAAAAATATCAAAATGTTTGGTTTAATTATTCTTTATTTTGAAGTTGTGGATGGCAACGAATTGTAAAGCAATTTAAAATGGAATCCTAAGTTTTGAAACTTTTATTTTGGAAAACAGTTTTTTTTTCATATATTTAAAACCGTAAATTTTAAGATTCCACTAATACAATCAGTAGTATGTTATAAGCCTATTACTCTATTACTATGGTCTAATTTTAAGATTTGCACTCTGTGAACTGTTTTGATGTTAGTTTTAAAATATTATGATAGGAATGAGCTTTAAGACATCAGTTCCTTACTTTAGTCGTTGTTTACTTCAGTTATTATTTATGTTTACTTTAGTTATTATTTCCTGCGTTAGCAGTGACATCAACATCATGGTTACTATGATTCAGAAAGGCGAAGAGAAAAAAAATGGGGAATAAAAAAGAAGAACGAAGGGAAAACAAATGTATGTGGCGTGGGCGCATTCAGCTGAGCAATATTTGCGTTTGCAAGTAAAGTTTTCAAATGTGAAAATAATTAAAAACAGCCTGAAAGAGATCATAGAGCAATCAAAAAATTTTGGTTCTCTCCATGCGCTCGGGAAGTTAACATAATTTTTTTTTATTCGAAGGCTAATAATTGGAGATTGAAACAAGGGTTGAACGTTGACAGATATATTAGTTGATTATTTTAATTTAAAGCATTATTCGATTCGTTTGATAATCAATGTAATTACGTATGATGTGTATGTGCATATAGTCCTATATTTTTCAGTCCAGTTTAGTATGAATACATCCAGTCTTCCATTAGAAATTTTAGTCTCATGTGCTCTTTTCTTTGCTGTCCATCTGTCCGTTTTCGACCCAGCAGCAGCCGAGCGGGTAAGTTGCGGAACACTGGTATTTGGACCTGAAATTCGATTTCAAACGAACAGCTGGCTGCATGAGTTTCCCCATGTGCAACGTGGACACGAGCCAGTTTCGCTTGGAAAGTTCTCCATTACTCTCTTCGGTCAGATAGCCTCTGTGCCCTTTGTGAAACATGTCTTTGTTTTCTTGGGAAGTTTATCTTTCTAGTTAACTTTTGTTACTCTCTTGCGACTGCTTTAATTCAAATAATCTTTTGATCTGACTGATTATATGCGACGTGAATCAAAAAGAATCTTATCTTCAAACCTTTTATCTTTCAAATTGAATCTGCCTGTCATTGATTAACAAATAAGCTATTTAAAAGCAATAGATGAAGATCCTAAGAATATTATTTTTTACTTTTTAATCGGAATGATTGAAATAAAAATGCATTTAACTCACGATATATCTAACTAAAAACATTCAATACTTTTATAGAATGACAGGTAACGGATTAAACAGATTCAGTATAAGGGGTATCACATTCAGTCGGACTTGAATAAAGGTGTAGACACCTTTACTGAAGTCGGTTGTTATTCTCCCAGACAGAAACCTTTATAAAGATGCCCCAGCGTAAAAGTACTTGCACCTTTACAAAGATCAGTTTTTAATTTTAAAAAACAGTAGTCTTCGTAACGGTGCCGACACCATAATGCCAGAACTCTCTTATGCATTAAATATTTTTATTTATTAACCTAATTAATAGAGTAACATTTATGAAGTTTGATTTTTTTCAAGTTAAAAATTAATCTTCATAAGTTTGAAGGCAGTTGTACGGCAGGGTACACTTTTTAAAATTTCTCTGTCTTGCTGAACGGTGCCGGAATTTCATAAAAGAGCCTGCACCTTTATTGCAGAGTACCATTGTTTTAAAATATTCATTTATACACCATTGTCCAGACCCTTACGCAGCCTTATTTTCGCAGCCATTGGTCGTAGACATATATTTTCAGTCACAAATATGTTTTAAATGACGGGGATATTCACATTTTGAAATTAAAAAAATTTGCAAAACTTTTATACTCGCTTTTAAAGATAACTAAAATTAATCTTAAGAGATAATATAATCAATATTTCTTTAGTAAATAAATATTATATATATATATATATATATACGTATGAAACTGCCGATTGCAATAAAAAGGCGAAATGCGGAACTAGGTGTTATAGAGTCTCATATACAAAATTCCAACGTTCTACGATTAATAGTTTTTGAGGTATAAGAGATACATCGTACGTACGTAAGTAGGTACAGACGTCACGAAAAAAAAATATTTTGAATAAATTTTAAATCCATTTTAAAATCCGTTTTGGAGAAAAGGATCCTTTATTCTGCTTCCTTTTTATTTTGTACACAAAAGCAAAAATTAATATTTTTAAGAAGATGAGGAAGGCTGTAACAGCAGCTTACTGAGTTTGAACGAGGCCGTGTTAATAGGGCTATGAGAATTGAATTTTCTTTTCGCGATATTGCAGAAAAATTTGGTAGGGATGTATGTATGCACAGTGTATGTGTGTTGACAGCAGTGGTTACAGGAAGGTACTGTCCCTCGGAGGCCACAGGGGTCCGGTCGCACACGTGCCACCACTCAAAGCAAAAAGGCCGTCGTATTCGCTCTGCAAACTGACTTCTTCTTGGTGTTCGGATTTCATTTTACAATAATGTATTTGATTCATTTTTCAAGCTTCAAATACCGAAGTAGCCATTCAAGAAATATATTTAGCCGTGCAAAGTTTTAAAAGCTCTCTGTATAATATTCAAATTTGATGCATTTTCTTTATTAAACAAATTTTTCTTTCTTTGCAGGTCTCGAGTGCGGATATCCGGGCGCCCCTGCTTTTGGGAGGCCCCATCCCGTGAAAGAAAGTTACAATCCCGGAGAAGCTGTCTCCTTTACATGCGTACAAGGATATGCTTTGCAAGGGCCATTCCAAAGAGTCTGCATGCCGAATGGCACCTGGGTGGGACCCATACCCCTGTGCGGTGAGCATTCTTACTTTGTCATGTTTTATTATTATTGTATTTTAACATACACCATAGGTTAATCCATTAAACTTTCACTTTTGTATGTACGAGTTACTGTGTTTCGATCTTTTTTTATCTTTCTCAGACAGAAACCTGTACCGCCCACCATGAAAGCTTAAATTTCCCCTGCTGGGCGGTATAGGTTAGGTTGATTATTCCTGTTCTGAACAAAAGCTGTGCGAGACAATTGTGAATCCATCTAGGCGAACGGGGATATAATAAGCATATCTTAGGACACCATATAGTGTACATGACACTTAAAACAAAACATATGAACAAGTTCTCTGATTTCATTCAAATTTTTTTGTTTGAGGTGCCAGACAGAACTCTATTCAAGGCTCATGCTATGATGGAAATTTTGCAATTTTACCTATTCAGATAAAGAAGGAGTAGGGAATCTTACGAGCTTGGGGTTTTTCAGTCGATTCTTCTTTTAGGAAATCAAAGCTTTATCGTTTTTGGTTTGAGAACGTGTTCTGCAAGTTGTATCTTCCGAATAAAAGTTTTGCATTTTTAAGGTCTTTCAAGACATAGAAATTTTTATAACAGAGTAAATCTTTATATCGCAACCATACATAGCTAAGGGGAAATGAATGTGCTCACAATGGACACTGAATAAGACATACAGATGTTGAAATTAAAAATGAAATTAATTAATTACTTTCTTTTGGCCATTGAATAGTTATAGTTTACCATATTTGATACATATGTTTTATTTGCAAAAGAGCCGCATCACTTGCTTGCGAAAGCCGCTCTATGGTCACCCCGTCTATATTCTTTATTAAAGAATTCATGATAAAACACTCATTTTTACACTGAATGGGTCACTAAAATAGCACTCGTGAAAGGAAAACGTCATGTAATGTTTGATAGGATTGTATGACTAACTTTCTCATTTATTTCACCTTTGTTCTGACGATATTTCATCCAGTACTTGTATAACTGAGGTTTTTTATGTGGTCAAAGGTTGTTTTCACTCTCTTCGGAGCGTGTACAACAAATCAAGAGCTCTCTCTTCTAAATGCGGTCACCCCAAGCGTAGATCCTCTTTCTGAGAAATAGCGACGTCCTTATACGAATAGTTAAACTGCTTGTATTTAACATGCTCCTTTCTTCTTTTGCGGATACGGGCGTACAAAGCAAAGCGTAGAAGGGAAAAAAAGAAGGAATTCTGTCGCCCTTTTGTTTTGTTCTCTTTCGTCTATATTTAGGAGGATATAATTCTGGACTTTTTTTTTTAGAAGTCTGCATGAATATGAGTTTTGTGGTTGCTTTTGAACAGATGCTTGATGAATTGTTTTAAATTTTTCATAACTAAAGAATTAGCAAATAAAAATTAGAAATGTCCCATATAATCTGACGGTAATTTCACGGAAGTAAACTCTGGAATTTTACAAAGTTTGTTTAATTAAGTTTTTCCGAACGGCATACTATTTTACATAATTACCGTTTTACGCAATGGCGTACCATACCTAAAGTGTTCCTTCGTAAAATTCCTGTGGCGATTATACGTGCCGATCATTGTTCGTAAAAACAGAATCCTTCCTAAGACTGCCCCGGCTTGAAAGTTGTGGCACCCTTGTGACGAGTATAATTCCTATCGTGTAAGAAACTACCCTTTGTAAGGGATACCGTTTCACAAGCAAGATTTAAAGTTTCCTTTTTTTAGACCAATTAGGTCTCTCGTAATAAAAAACGTAAAAATTCCAGTGCCCTCGCCAAGATTCGAACAACGAATCTTCACATTGCTAACCGGATATGTTACCGATTACACCATGAGAGCACGCAAAATGGGATGTGGTAATTATTTATATCCTCTTTCCTTTTAAAGATGACCAAAGAGAAGACGAGAGCCAGTCCATTAAATTCAGATGCTGACAAGTTATCGTCCACCACATTATAATTTGTACGCCATTGTACAGACATTAAGTTCTTGGAACGAAAAACGTGAAAAAACAGCGACGTCCTCATAGGGATTTGAACTCTAAATCTCCATCCAGATGACATCGACCTGAGGTTCTGATATAGACCAAACAAATTAAGTAATCTTGATGGTATATATTTTTCTTAGTAAGAAATTTACAAATTTCCATTTTTGATACATTTCCTGTACGTGTTGCACTTTAAGTGTTTCAAACGTTGGATATAATTTGTACATTGATTTTTAACAGAAGGACTGTCTTGATTATATGTATGTTATATAAATTATAGTTGTAGTACATTATATAGTTCACAGACTCAATACATTGGTCATAGATGCAATAGAAGATATTAACCATAAATAGTCAATAGCCTATAGAATTAGTCAATACGCAGGTCAATATTCAATAATCCGTCTGTAGTCTATCAATAGTTTATCCATAGTCAACAGTTATTAGACAATAGTCGTCAGTCTTCCATAGTTAATAGTCTATCAATAGTTTATAAAATATTCAAACAATCGTACTTTCTGTTGCAAAAAGTGCTGTTTTTGACGAATGACAATGTGGTGCGCTATCTGCGTTATCTGTGGGGTAATTTGTTTCTTAGTGTTGATTGGAATGGTAACAGTTGATGCATTTGTAAGATTTATGTGAGCACTGCACGCAGACAGGCGATGCTTTGCAGTTGCGGCTTCTATGACCAATACCCTGGCAATTGCAATCCCTTGTGTTCTTTAGTAATTTCGGTACATGCAGAAGTTGAAGTCTATGATATATACCACCCTCACGTCCAAATGCTTCAGCGTAATTTAGATTAACTTGTCGTTTTCCAGTTGTTTTTTTCAACTCGCCTGTGTTCTGGCATGAATTGCATCTAGAGAGGCAGCTGGAATATAGTTACTGAACGCTTGCGGAAGGTTTTGTGCTTACACGTATGACGGAAATCTGAAGACTATTATCTGCTCTCTGTGAGGCAGAGATTTGAATTATCGATCTTCCAGCAGCGAGCTCGATGCTATACCAATTACAGCACGATAATTTCTTATAAGGTGCGGACTGTGTAACTTGTATATAAGGCAGTTTCCTTAAAAAGTGCTCCTTGAAGGTATCCCTTCCGTTAGGCAAAAGCACTGGTGTACTTTTCTGTGGTCAAATAACTTAACCTAACGTATAAGGTGCTTGCATTTTTAAGCGAGTCTGCTACAATTTGAAAAAAAAAAACAGATGCCTATATAAGGGCTGCTCTGCATAAAACTGCTCGCATCCTTATGAAGATCATTTTCTAACTTTTAAAACGCAACCATTTTAAAAATGAGGACATCTTTCTTCCGAGGTATCTGTTATGCAAATAAGTTTTGATTTTCTACTGATCAGCAAAGCAAATGAAAATTATTATTAAATTATATTTATTGCTATTTTAAAAAATCATAATTCAAGAATTAAATCGTATCGTTATCTTCCTAAACTGCACAGATGTGACACTTTAAGCATCGAACACTTCAAATTCCATTTTCTGGATGAAGTAAAGTGAAGCAACGGAAATGATAGGACAGAAATAACTTAAAACTGGTTAGAAACTACAACTCTAAGTTAACACGGGCTTCTGTACTTTTGATTTTTAATAAAGCACGTTTTATTTCAGAAAAATTAGTGTATTGACTGATATATAGATATTATGAATTTAATTTCATAGAAGTCACATCTTTGAAGGAAAAATGGTCACAGCTGTTGCCAATACATTAGAAGTAAAATCTTTTTTTTTTAATCTTTTCTAAGGGAAAATGACATTACCATATCTTATTAGTATGGTGGATCATTAAATTAAAATTTTTTAAAATTTTCTTCCAGATTATTAACTTTATACACTGCCGGGAAAAATTAAAAGAGTAACTATCAAAATTCTTCTTGTATGATTGAAGTAACTTGTATGTATTCAACTTGTATGATTTTGCAGTTAAGAACGTAAAACTTGAATCTGATCTGCATTTTATCTTCCCTGACGTATTTTCAGAATGAAAATTTGCTGATTTCTGTTTATTTCTTCGTAAGAACATGAGAATCTGATATAAAATTGGGTAAAGAAAAGTTGGTGTTACAACGTTTTAGAGGTACATGAAAATCTATGTGATTACCCTGACCGAAATGCAAACTTTACAGAGATATTCTATGTTGTGTAATAGATTGTCAAGAAGTTCATGCGGTAACAAAGTGTATTCACAATGGACAGTTCTTTGAAGCTGTTAGAGAGTTATTGGGGGGGGGGGTTGTGATCCACATCAAGGTCCTAATGCGTTTTATGCATGTTCTACTTACTAGATTTATATCTGGTAATATGTGGGCCATTTCATCCTCTGGATTTCTTCGCCCTCAAGAAAATCAGTCATTGGTTCAGCGCTATGGTACCAGCATTCGTTCATTAGGAGGAAGTTATTACCAGTTGCAGACCTAAATAATTTCACATAAGGATCAAGAGCCTCATTACTATATACTTCAGCATATCTGCAGTGGTCAAAATACGTAAGTGAATGTCATCTATTCAGAATGATGCCCGCCTATACCATGATTCCATCACTCATGGTCTTTCTCGCATGTCTTCATGCATATTGTGCACCTCCAGATTGTAACATGTTTGGAATTTCTTTGAACACAAAAGCGAAATTCATCAGTAAAGAAAACTTAACTTCAATACGTGGTACTCCAGTCACTATTATTTCTGTACCACTGCAAACGAGCGCAGTTCGCAGTTAGCCGAACACATGTTTTCTTTCTATACAGCCCTGTTTTATGCAGGCTGTCACTCACGGTTTATCTAGATAGTCGATTTCCTTAATCTGCATCGAATTCCCTTGCAATCTAAGCTGACGTCAGTTGTCCATTTCTTTTAGCGGTCGTTGCTAAATAAGCGCCATAAGAGTCTGTTGTGACACATTTTCGACCGCGACTTGTTGATCTGCATATATCACCAGTTCTTAAAGGTTTTACAGGTTCTTGACATAATGCCTCTGATTACTTGTAAGTCATTACAGGCTTGTGTCA